GGAGGAGGAGGAGGAGGAGGAGTTGGAGTTGTTGTTGTTGGCTTTGGGAGCCATTTCAAAAGAATCCAGGACTTGGCTGTGGGTGGAGGGGAGAGGGAGGGATCAAAAGACCGGCCCTAAGGTGAGGAATGTGAATGGAGGCAGTTTGGGGCGGGGGTAGGTAGGATGCTGTGGTTCCGGATAGGTGAGTTTTAAGAGCCTACAGACACCAGGTAGAAGTGGATTCTCAATGGGAAGAAGAGTCCCGGAGCTCAAGAGAGTGTTGTGTTAGACAGGGAGGTCTGGATAGCAGTGCTACTTGGGAATGGTATTTTCTAGGGAACACAAACAGAGAAGGCAAAGGGGCCAAGAACAGAGTCCTGGGAACACTGAGTCTTGGTGGGGAAGCGGTGGGCAAGAAGAGCCTCCCACGAGGCAGAGGAGAGGCCAGAAGGGCGGATGAAAACCAGCTTCCAGAAGGCCATGGACCGGCAGCATGGACCCTCCTGGGAAAGTGTGAAAGGGCAAGACCCCAAAACACCACAGGGTGTGGCAGTGAGGGCTGGTTCAGGTGAGGACAGCGGCATGAAGTTGCCCAACTTAGGGTTGGAAATCAGTTTGAGGGCGGCTCCAATCCAAACCATGACACCATACGCGATCTTTCAGCCACTTGCAGGGGCAGAGCTGGCGGCGGGATTGACCTGGGATTGGGGATTGGCGGGGTGGGGGGAGCGGGTGAACTTGGGCGGGTTACCCTGGAGAGGCCTGTAGATGCTGGTCAGGTGGGAAGGCAGGTTTCCAGGTGGCGGCAGGTGGAGAGGTGGGGGACTTGTGGTCAGAGAGCGCCCCTGCCGGGGATCTGGGGATCAGCATGCAGGAAGCTCTGGTGATGACACCCCAGGAGCGTGTGTGAAACGGACTCAGGCTGCCAAGCTTTATTCACTGTGGAGAGACCATCATCACCAGAGCCATGTCTAAAGGATTTAGCCAGGGCTGCATACGGAAAACAGAATGGAAGGGGGCTTTGGCAGACCAGCCCAGCCCACAGGAAAGAGCTGAGAGCCTGGATTTGGGCCAGCGGGAGTGCTGAGCCGGCTGCAGGATGGGGCGCGGGGGTAGTCTCTGGACAGAGAGGGCACGGGGCTGCAGGAGGAGTGTTTTATGATGCAACCGTGGGTGCTGGCCTTGGCTGGGCCCTGTGGCGACTGGGTGCCGTGGCGTGGAGGCGGATAGGGAAAAGAGCGGGGTCGGCAGGGCACCGAGTCCGGGCGCACCCCCGCATCCTGACTTGTCTCCCGCACAGGGTTCGTGGGCCCCCAAGAAGGAGCCGTACGCCCGGGAGATGCTGGCGATCTCCTTCATCTCGGCGGTCAACCGCAAGCGCAAGAAGCGGCGGGAGGCGCGGGGGCTGGGCAGCAGCACCGACGACGACTCGGAGCAGGAG